CTTTTGCTCCATCCTGCATGGTGTTACCAGGCAGTGCTCACCCCACCCAGCCTCACATGCCTGGACTGGGGCTCTGGTCTCATGTGCTGGGATTGGGCTCTGGGGCCCCATGCTAGCCCTGTCCCATCCTGAATGCTGGGATCGGGGCCCAGTGCTGCTCTGCGTGGCTGATCTAGCATGCAGGGCAACGGCCCTCAGGACTCACCATGGCACTGGAGGCCAGGGGTTGAGCACCCTTGCTCCAAAACGCTCAAAATCTGTTTACGGCATTTCCAATTACTACTCTGCAGTATTTTAGCTAAGCGTTATTTTTCTTGGTTTGCAGTCTACAATTGACTTCTGCAGCTGGTTTGGAAATCATACAACTTAGTAACTGTGTTCTGAGGCAGGCCAAGCCTTTGCTGCCCTGTGGCCTGAAATTTGCATCTCTAAATGGGAGTCCCAGCAGGGAGGAAAGTCATCTGGGCTGGAAGTGGCAGATGTCAGGATTCCTGTAGAAGCCATACAGGTCTCCAGTTAAAGTGACTGGAAAGGGAAAGTTTGTATGGAGAGAGATGTTGGAGGAGATAGTGAAGTTCCAGCTGGGAACAGGAGCTTTTAGGAAGGCTGACTGACTTTTGGAGGACGCTGTAAAGGAAGATATAACTGCTGCTAGAACGCACTAGGTGGGCTCTCTCATTGAGAGAGTCTGTCCCATTTAATTGGAAAACTCTTAGCAGAATTGCACAGTGCAGGAAGGAGATCAGTCTCTATTACTATCATTTCTAAGAAACGTATTTAATTTTGGTTTAATATTACAAGAACAGAACTTTCTGTAATTTTTCTTTTTCATTGAGTATAGTGTACTGAATGAACACTTTGTGAATCCAAAGGATTGATAAGTCCAAAGTTAGCAAATATTTGTTGTGTGGTAGAACTGCTTATGCTTTGCAGTGGTACAGGCTTACTTGCTTTACTCAGGTACATACATAGGAGGTGCTGAACTTCCTTGGAAATAAAAACCCCTAATTTTGGCAATTGTGTTAGAAGTCCTAAAGAGCTACTTCTACTATGAAGATTTTTCTTTTTGGTACTGTGGGGACTTTAGTACATGGATGTAAATTCCTATGAATAAAAAAAATGAAAATAGATCAGTTGGAAAGCAGATTCATTTCTAACATATTTCCACTGAAATTGGTTGAGTAATATTGAGGAATAATTTAGTGCATAAAATTAGCTTTAAATCTGGCATAAATCAGTTCAAATGCCATGGAAGTTCCCAGGATCAGTTAATTATTTTGTAGTGTTAAATGTCATGCTTGTTGTGAGTTAGTATGGACAAGCGTGGACAAGCGTTCATTTTAGCTGCTGTAAAGTGGGGCAGACAGAACCACTGTTTAGGAGCTTGTAATAACTATTACACTAATGGTTATTTCTGCATGATCTTTTAGTGATGCAAGTGAGCTAAATCACCATAAGTTTGAGGGTTGATGAAGAAAGGGTTAAGTGGAGCAGTTTTGCTACACTTGTATCACTACAGAATCATACAGATATAAGGGTTGCATCATAACAGGTTATAATATCCTTTGATATCAGCACAGTTGATTGCATGGTCAATCAGTACAATTGTTACAGATTTAAAAGGCAATAAAAAGGAATTCTACAAGTATGTCAAAAGTAAGGGGCCAAAGGAACTATAGGTCCTTTACAAAATGCAGAAAGCAATCTAGTTGTGCATGATGCAGGGACAGCTGAAGTATTTAATGCCTTTTTTACATCATTGTTCACAAACTAGGGGCAGCTACCAGATGAGAGCAAAGCCTAGTTGTTAACAAAGATGGGAAAGGGGACAAAGCTTAGGGTAGTAGAAGAACGAGTACAGGGTTTGCTTAAAGAAGCTAGATGCTTTCAAGTTGGTATGGCAGGAATGGATGCACTGTAGGGTGCTGAAGAAATTGGCAGATGTAATTTAAGGCCCATTTGCTGCTCTTTGAGAACTTCTAGGAGTTGGATGAGGCCCTGGATGATGCAAATATCAAGTCCATCTTTAAGAAAGGGAAGAAGGAGGATCTAGAGAATTATATACTGTTAGCCTGACTTCTGTACCTGGAGCAGGTCCACAAAGAATCTATTGTGAAGCACCCAGAGGAGAACGGGGTGATCAGAACAGGAGCAACTAGCATGGATTCACCAAGAGCAGTTCTGCTTGCCTGACCAACCTGATTTCATTCTGTGATAAGGTGACAGGCTCTGTGGTTAGGGGGAGAGCAGTTGTGATACAACTTGACTTTAGCAAGGCTTTTAACATGGTCTCCCATGACATGGGATGGCCTAGTCAGGGGCCATCCTGCCTTGCACGGGGGACTGGAATAAATGACTTTGTGAGGTTCCTTCCAGCCCTACTGTCCTGTGTTCCTGTCTATACCCTAGAAGAACCAGTGTAAATTAAGTTAGTCCTGCAGAGCTGTCACATCTAAAGTCTGGTCTAAACTACAACATTTTGCCAACAGGACTGTCAGCTAGGGGTACTGGAAGATGCATCTCCAATTTAATATAGCTGTGTTGACCATTTTTCTCAAGTACGGTTTGTCATTTGGGGAGATTCTGTAGATATACCTGCAGAAATGTCCCTTCTCTTCATATCTACTGCATCTTTGTTTGGGGCTTTTCTAGATTTGCTAAGTGATAGAAGCACCAGTGTAAGACTGAGGTGGGGAGGAGGAGAATTGCAGGGCTCCCTTTGTAGGATTTTCTGAACTTTTTTGTGGAGCAGGTGGGGGGGGGGGGGGGGGGGGGGTGACTAGGTTTTTCTGCTTCCTTGTGGAGCTGTCAAGTGCTGAAGGCCCCTAATCTTAGACCTGTATAAAATTGAGGTCGGGTAGGCAACCTTTTCTGGTTGTGGGCCGGAGTGATTTCCTTCAGGTCAGATATGCCCTGGCAGGCCACTCTTTGTCTATGTGGCAGCATGAGTAGAGCGCCCACAGCCAAAGCCCTACATCTGCAGGTCAGATCCACTGGTTCTGCAGGCCATTAGTTGCCGACTCCTGATGTCAGGGACTGCAATCACTGTGGTGCTTTGCTGGTGGTTGGGCCTTGCAGCACTTGCACGGTTTTCAGTAGCAGTTCCACTGGAGCTGTCCTCTCTGCACTGTCTGTCACCTATTCTGTGCCCCTTCTGTGCTTCACAGACAGGTGTCATAGTTTCATAGCAGGTAGGGTTGGAAGGGACCTGAGCAGATCATCAAGTCCGACCCCCTGCCATGGCAGGAAAGAATGCTGGGGTCAAAACGACCCTGGCTAGGTGTCTATAGAAATCGAGCCTTGAACTAATTTTTTTATTTGAGATCCTGCCCAGGAATGGGTGTTGAAAGAAGCGAGTAAGACAGTTTTCTTCTTACTCTGCTTCTCTCACTTTCTGCTCTGATCACATTAAAATAGGGTTCTTAAGGGATGAATGCATAGGTATTCTTCCACCCTGCTGGTGAACTTGAGTGTACATTTGATTGCCTCTCTATCTTTAAAATATTTTTCAACTTCTACACTGTTTTATGCAAAACAATCAGCTTAAAGTACTAGAGGTGGACAGCATGCTAGTTTGTACGGTAAATGACCAGTACTGTCGACTCTGTTTTGTGACAGAAAATCACAGACGTTTCAGTTATCTTCAGCCCAGAAGTGCAGCATGGTGCCTCAGCACCCTAAGTGCAGCAGCGTATGGGTAGAGCAGCATCATTGGCTGTGCTGCCAGCAGCATGATAGTGGCTGCTCTGGCAGTGCAGCTGCTTCTACTTTTTTAGGGTCCTCTCCCTGCTCTCCACTCCCCTCCTCCCTCATGGGTAGTGGGGGCAGTTGGTGCCCACAGTTGCAAGCGAGTTGCTTCCCATTATTATGCCACTGTTTCAGCCCTTAACATAACTGAGGCTTTGTTACCCTTCTAGACTGACTGTACTGGGGCCCTGTGTGTATGAGCAAAGAATTTTTTTTATAGTTCTGTTCATCCTGTAGGATTCCAGTACTTCTTGCAAGCTGCCAGTATATATGTGCTTTATATTAATATATAAGAAAATCCTGCATGGAAGAAAGCTAAGATTGCTACATTGAATTAACTTTTTCACACCCACTAAGCAACAGATTTATTTAGTCTGAGGCAGGGACATTTTTTCATATGAAAATTAAATCTTTTGGATGATACCCAGATTGCTTTCAGTTTTGTAAACACTTTAATGTAACTTTTTCTTACAAAGTAGTGAGAAAATTCTAGGCTCTCGTGGAAGCTTCCAAGACTTTGAAAAACTCAGAACTTGGCAGTGGTTCATGAGCGGAAGTTTGGCAAGTATATCTGCTATGGATGGACTACACGCTCTTCTAAAGACTTATTATAAGCCAGCTGTTCAAGTAGCTTTTTGAATAAGTTACTGTATGCATGCAGTAATGTGGTACAGATATGGGGACCAAATAACTTATCTTAAGGGCTTGTCAATATGGGATCTTTTTCAATACTATGTTTATTCCATAGGAAGCTTGTTTTACTGGCTCTGATGAAAATTGGGCTTTTTATTTACATTGGCAAGATCTTTATGCAGTGTACTGTGTGTTTTTTGTGTGTGTTTGTGTGTGTGTGTGTGTGCATGTGCGCACATGAGCTTCACCAGAGTCTAGTTTTAATAGTCTTTTTAAATTTTTTAAATCTTGTTGGGGAGAAGGGGGATTATGGTAACACAACAATGCTGAAACTGTTTCTAGAAACGTGGCTTCATGCTTGTTTTTTGCTTTCACTTTGTAAGCGAACAGGGCAGATGCTATTTGCAGAATGTGGTCAGATTGCATTTCCCCAGATGACTGCAGCCAGGAGGGATGTAATTGCAAAAGTATGCATTAATTAGGAAAAAATGTGCTTGTTAAAAGAAATCTCTCTTATAACCTTCAGTGAAAATAGAGTAAAAAAGAGTTGTTCTTCATCAAGAAAGAGTGAAATCTGACTGAATGCAATTGTAAACAAGTCTCTCGCATTTCTTTTGTAGGTGTATGGTGAGGTGACAGCTCTTGAATTATGGCATCCAGAAAAGTTTGGTGTGTATTGGTCCTGGGCGTTCTTCTGCCTCATTCTTATGCCCATACAGACTTCTTCACTTCGATTGGTGAGATAAGCTTCTGTATATACAGTGCATAACTGTAGAGCGCTGTCTGGCAACTTTCACAACTGACTCTTCAGTGTGCTCCAGGAATTAGTATAGCATGAAGCTCACCACCAGTGCCTCTGTGATTTATCTTTTTGGAGGAATGTTTTTATTCAGATCATCCTGTTAAAATGACAGAGGACTGGGACGTGCATTCATTAGATTGAAAATAATTTTGGTTTCCTTCAAATGAGGAAACAAAATAATTCTTGGTAAGAACTCATAACAGTGCTAATGTTCCAGGATTTACCTCTGCTCCCACAATGGTTATTTTTTAATAGCGTGCATAGCACTTTGGCTTTTACAGTAAGTAAACCAGTTCAGCCATCTCTTTACTTGATATCCTGCTTTAAAAAATTCACAGGTAGCTTGTAGAGAGAACCTCTGCAAGTATTGTGTCAGAGTATTGTGTTTCAAATGCTTTGTGTAGCTCCATAATTCATTTTTGCCTTATTTGCTATATATCAGATGTATTTGAATAAAAGTATATTCCTTTTCAGCCTATATTATCTCCCCAAATATGATGCAAATGAAAGTCAAAGTGCTGACCTTGATGCTGCATTCGTGTTCATGGCAGCAGACTATGTAAAACACACTAAGTTCTCTCAAGAAGAGGGAGGAATCTTTTTCAGACATCTTCATGGGTAGAAAGAGAAATACAAAATGACTAACCAATCTCTGGTGTGCTTTTCCCTTAGCCCTGCCCTCAGTTTGTTCCAGTGGGAACACCTTTTGAATGATGAGCAGAGCTCTGATAATCAGTCAAAACTGTTTTTCTTTTTAGGTCACATGACAGATTTAATTAATACAGAAAAAGACCTGCTGACATCACTGAAAGATTATATCAAGGCAGAGGAGAGCAAGCTGGAACAGATCAAAAAGTAAGCGGATAGTTTCATAACACTACTCTGTAACTCCATCCTTACGTACAAGAGAGTTCCCCAAAGCTGAACAAATTGAGGAATTTATTGCCTGGAGGAGAAACAATAATTAAGATGTTTGTCCTTAATGAATGTCTCTTTGAGCTGGTGTTCTTTTCTTTATATAATGTTATGAGAGTGAGTTCTAATCAGTTTGCGCTCTCTATTGTATCCTCATTGGCAGGATTCCCAGGTATGCATGTAATTCTTCAAAAGATATGCTGTTTTGTGTGTATGCGTGTGCATGCATGCATGTGCATTCCAGAGAATATTATGATGTGCACTGGACTAAAAAATTTAGTATTAACTGTAGCCGAACTGCTTAAGCATGGTGAAGCTGTAACTGGTAACTAAGAACCTCACAAGTGAATACTAGTAAGTCATTATAAAAACATATCTTGGCTGTACATGTCATAGATTTAATAAGAACAAGTCATTTTGTTATTCTTTCTACATTTGACTCAGTCATTGCCCAAGAGTAGAGCTAAGGGAAAAGGTCCTTTCTATTGCAGTTTATCAGAGCTTAGGAGCCAAAGCCTTGTACAACTGGGAAGGGGATGCCTAGTTTTCAAATACTTTTATTTTCTAACTTTCTCATTCTGGTGAATTAAAAGTTTTATAACATTTTAAACTTGGCAGTGGTCCAAGAGACTACAAGGTATAGGCTGACATTGAGGGGGAAAGAAGGAAACTTTTGTGTTGGGCTTTTTGATGTTGTTTTTATATAGTACATCTTTTTGTAGGTTTGGGATGTTATCAATAATCCTTACAGCTTCAAATTAGTAGGCAGAGAAGTTGAACATTCACAGGTGGATAAATGCAAGTTGTGCTGCATAAGCATCAGTGATGAATGTCTACATTATACTGATGCTAATGTTTCCAGATTAAAAGCAAAAGTTAAAATAAAGGATACCCAAATAAAATAATTTGACTTTTAGACATACCTTGCCCTTGAAATTCATGGGGCTCCACTCTTCAGCTACAGCTTGTTTGCTTGCTTTTTTGTTCATTCATTCATTAGATTTATGAATAACTTTACTGGCTCAGTGCAGTCACCGAATCCATTATCTCCCTGTATAGGGGGGAGGGGAGAGGGAAACAGGGGACACCTGCATTTCCAGGTGGGTTGTGATGGAGTTATGGTATAGTAACCAATATGAGTGACACATTTGGTCTGTACAGCCACAAGGTTAATATTTTAGTTACTTTACAGCAGTCATGGGAATTAACTGGTTAATTAACTAGTTAAAAAGTTAAAGAAATGGATAACTTTTAATTGGTTAAAAAAAGGTTAACTTTAACTTTTTATAAAGTCTAAATTACAATTTTTAAAAATTGAAACCCAGCTTTCCCAGTGTTTTTCCTGACACAGCCACTCTCTAGGACTTGCATGGAACGATATTTCTTCATTGAAACTCTAGGACTTCTTGTTTGAGAGAGAGAGTAGTGTGCCTTACTATGAGATATGGTCTCTTAAGAACTACAAGTCCCAACGTTCCTTAGTTCATGCTGGGATTTTCTGTGCATTTGCGGAAGTCAACAGAGCAGCCAGTTGGCTGCAGGAGAGGGAACAAGCACAAGCAAGCAGAGACATTGATCCCAGTAAGAGTGGGAGCAAGTAGTGAGGGTGAAGCAGATGATGACTTTTTTTAATTGTAATGAAGATCAGAACCAGCAGCCCAGGGCCCAAGAAGTTGAGCATTACTTCTCATCTGTGAGAAACTTACCTGAGATTTCACCTACCATGAAAAAACTATTCATTCATTATAACACAAGCATTCCCTCATCTGACCATGTAGAGCAATTGTTCAGTAGTGGGGACTTAGTTTTGCAAAACAGAAGAGGAAAATTGTCAGATGTAAATTTTGAAATGCAGCTTTTGCTGAAGTTCAATAAGCATGTTTAAACAGTTTCTGCTATGCAACTAAACATTTAAACATCTTTTTCTCATTTAAACTGATTTTTCTCATTTCAGTCTAATTTTGATTTTCAGACAACTACATTATTTCACACCCTCTTGTTACCTTTTTAGCAATAAAAATTGTAACAACAGAGGTTTTCTGTGGAAACAGCTTTCATTTGTTACCTGGCTATGAATATCTCCTTTCTGTTATTCTGGTATACTTATATGATGCATTGACTTTTACAAAGTACTTCACATGGAGAGGGTGAGGAGGATCTAACATTGCATAGGTATTTGTAAATTGTTATTCTGAAAACTGTATGCCAAGTACAACATTGTTTCCAAATAAAGCAGGGTGAGTTCCGAATAAATTGGCGTGGTTCTGTCGGCTAATGGAAAAGAAACCCACTCATTGCATTTGAAAATTTAAAATGATGCTAAAAGGCAATTCACCGTGTTTCACACATTTTTCACAAATCAACTTAACTTTTAAAGTGGAAATATTTAACTTTTAACTTAACTCAAGTTAATTTTAAAGACTTCTAACTTTTAACTTTAGTTACATTTTTCATGAACTTTTCTCATGACTGCTTTACAGGTGTCTCATTATGGTATGAGTGCTATAGAGTCAGTGAAATCCTAGTATAAAGTACTTTTTTTAGTAGAAGCTAGAAGTGAGACTTCAGTATTTTCAACCTTTGTAAGGAGCATAATATTTGCTAGTAACCTCAGCTGCACTAATACTTAGAAGGAGCCACATCCATTTTTCTGTTTTTGACAGTCCAAGGGCCTTTGTGGGCAAAGAGAAGACGCCTAATGGCTTCAGCAGAGGAATGAAGCATGCATAATAAAAACCTGCTTTGCTGTATATTTAACTGCCATAAAATACTTACTTAATGTGGGAAAAGCAGGCAACTTGTGTTTGGGCACATGCTTAGCAAGGCCTCATTTATTCTGGAGCAGGCTGGATTTCAGTTTTTACAGGGTCTCTTGCTTGCTTGTGTGATGGCTTTTATGTAGAGGTTAAAATATCTTAAATGTTAGATTTTCTTAATGATACCCCTTTTGGCTTTTTTCACATTCCATTAGTTTTACTCTGCCTGTCAACATTCCCTTTTCAGAAGGTTGCTGTGTTTTGTTTTGCTTTATTAAGCATGTATGGAGGCTTGCACATCGGCAAGAGGCAGTTGAGGTTTCTAGTAAAACTGAAGACATGAAAGATGCCTCGAATACTGGAACAGGCACATTAACAAGCAGCAGATAAAGCTCTCAGGAGTGTTTATAATTAAGTTTGAGTGAGCCCTCAGTTAAGATTAATAAGGATTATTCATGCTTTTGAAAAGTAATTTTTCAGGCTGCTGCAGATTCAGGAATACAATTCTGTATTGGTATTCAGTGGGTTTGAGAGGCTTTATTTGAAACTTTAAGAATTGCTCCGCATGAGAGGTTAAATTATGAAATACAGTTTTACAATATGTGGAATCCATGGACCAGCCTTGAGCACTTTTAGGAACTAATTTTTATCTTAGGGTTATTAACTTTCTCCTTTAAAAATACGTTTGGGTCAGATAGTATATTGAAAGTAACTTTTAAAGTACAAATTATATTGAAGTATACTGGGTTTACCAAAACTTAGGTTAAAAAAATTGTATTTAACTGATCTCCGTGAAACTTCGTAAAGTAACTATATGCTTCCTACCTATGATATACTGTGTATCAGCTGATATATTTTATTGGTGCATAGAGCTTCTTTATTGCAAGGTAGTGAGAGCAACTACTTATCACAGCTGTAGGATTGGTGAAAGAGGTGGCATTATTTTTCTTTGCATATAAAGTAAAAGAATGCACATTGTATTGGAAGCTACATCAGCCAAAAGAGTCTGTTTGCTCTATAGCAGTTTTACAAGGCACAGAGTCTCTTAGAGCTTTATTCAATGTTATTTTTTCTACAGATGGGCAGAGAAGTTAGATCAGCTAACTGACACAGCTACAAAAGACCCAGAAGGATTTTTGGGGCATCCTGTAAATGCATTCAAGTTAATGAAGCGACTCAACACTGAGTGGGCTGAGCTGGAGAACCTGGTCTTGAAAGACATGTCAGATGGTAAGTCTTGGCAATTTTCATTTTTTAATATTACTGTGTCTTGCACTAGCATTCCAGTGTTAACCAAAAATACAGGTTGGAGAGGCTGAGGAGCTTCTGTTTCCATACTCAAAATACAAATAAGAGTCAAACATTTTGTTAGTGTTTTCATTTATATCTTTCCAGTTTCATAATTGGAATCGGACTTGTGAGCCTCTCTGCAAGATATCTCTGCCTGCATGCGGATACTTCTAAAGCTCATATCCTCTTGTTAGCAAAATGGTGATACACTGGTAAATAACCTAACCAATCTTGCGCTCTGGTCTTTACAGAAAGGTAGTGGATTGGAAGTTCAGCAACAAAACTACTGTTAGCACCACTGTCCACCAGATTGTGCTTAGGGATCGTTAAAGCACAATTAACCCTTAAATGGAACGTGAAATATGAATGAAGACAACTCATTGTCTTAAAATTCAACAGCTTGGACAACTCGGTGTCCTAAAATCAAAGTCTAACTTTATTAATACAACAAGTATTATCTTAGCAGTTTTTATATTCAGAGAGAGAAAAATACTCAGTACAATAATCTCACCCAATCCCAGATGTTACTTTGCTTAACAGAAAAGACAGCCATTCAGTTCCTGGAAGCAAATGGTATGTTGTGGGCTGAAATGGTTCAGACAGGTGTTGAAGGCTGGATTTATGACAATGACAAACTTTCTTCTTAAGTTGTTCTTCAGTTTGACTCTTTTGACTCTTCACGTTTGGATTGGTCTCTCTGAAGTTAGCATACTGTTCATCTTTTATCCTGTCAGCATATTTCTTTGTCTAACAGACCCATTACAAGCATGCCTCTTAACTTGGCCGGTGTCTTACTTTCAGCATTGTCCATGGGTGTCCCTTATCACTTTTCATTAATATATCCAATTCTTTCATCCCTCTGATTCAGCTGGTTAGTGCCAAGTTCGGTTAATTGGAGCTGGTAACAAGGCTGTTGCTGTTATGTTAAAGAACTTCTCACAGTGATAAAAAGAAAATATATAACATAATGAGCACCTATGAGCTCTACAAAAATAATTCAGAACCAGCTAATAATAAAAAATAAAAAGTTAATAAGGACAAAACTTAAGCAATGATTAAATAAGGCTAAAATATAAACAATACTGTAAGCAGGTGCAACTTCAAAGCATTAAACAACAAGCTACCCTAACACTACAGTGATACAAAGAATCAGATCAGTACTTCAGTTCTAAATCCATGGGGAGCGGTGGTTCTTTTTTTATCATCCCACTGTCTCCCACTGCTAATAAGTCTTTCGTTTTTACAAACTGGATTTTTCAGAAATGTTTATTTCTGAACTTGAAAAATCCAGTGTGTGCTCAGGATGAGTAGAAACCTTTGTTCAGAAACATGCCAGTCTTTTGCAGAATCCTTGCTGTAAGTTTTTGGCAGGAAGGAACCGGAGGGAAAGGAGTGAAGGGGGGAAAAGCAAAAATAGCCTTCCAATCACATACATCATGACATACAGGGCTGTCTTTCTAAATCTTCAGGTGTACAAGAATGGTTTCTGAAGGAAATCCTAGCATATTGCAAATAGTTGTGAAGGGAGGCTTAACATTTCAGTTAGTAGGGCCTTGGGCTAAATAATTTTGATGGAGCAGATAGTAGGGGGATGGGCATCTAGAATAAACTAAAAAATAAAACAAAGTTATAGCTTTGAATTTTTCCTGGGGGGATGGTAGACGGAGCTGAAAACTGAGAATCAGAGAATATGGAATGGAAGGAACATGCCACATACTGTAGCAGAGGTTTTGGGTTACAAAACAGTTTTCAAACTCCACTTCATAAATCTACTGGATACAAAAAATCATGGACTCAATATGATTGGATATATATCCAATAAATCCAATATAGACATTGGATTTATGACAGGTACTTGCCTGTGCTTACCTTTTACACTTTTCTTTTTCCCCCTACTTTCTCCCCTCCCCTCCTTTTCTACCCTTTGTCTTCCTAATTTCCAGCTATTTACTCATTCACTGACTGCCTCTTTCCTACCTTGGAGATCTCAACTACAGTAAAGTCTCCCTTGCTTACCTTTGGCTCATTTCCCCCTTGTTTTCCACCCCTCCCATCCCTACTCTTTGTTTTCCTAATTTCCACCTATTTATAGTCTCACTAGCATCCTGTCACACTTTTAGCCTCTTTCATTCCTTGGAGATCTCAAAACAGCAGAGACTCCCTATTCTTGAAGAAGAGTGCTGGTGCCCCAAAAGCTTTTAAAGAACTTTTTTTTCAGCTACTCAAGTTCTTCTACTAAAAGATATCACATCTACCCAAAGAAGCTTGCCATACTGTAGCAGAAGCTTTTTAGAAGCTGCTTCTGGAAAGAAGAGAAGTGTAGTGTGTCATGACCCAAAGGCATGATTTTGTGTGTGCTTCGGCACCAGAATTATCCCCGCCAAGTTGCAGCTCCATTGCACGGGAGAGTTTCCTGTTGCAGAGGAAAACCCCGGTGCAGGGACGAGTTTCCTGCCTTTTCTGCAGTTTCTTTTGCAGAGTGCATTGCTCATGTTGCAAGAGGAATGCACGGTGCAAAAGAGTTCCCGCCACCGGTATGCAAATTTGTTCTCCGTGATTGGCTAGTGTTAAATTATTCACGCGTGGCGGCTAGCGATTGGCCTGTTAGCCGTATAAGAGGCATGAGCAGTTTCCGCCCAAGCCGAAAAGACGTATTTACGATTTCTATTTTGGTGGCTCGTTCACCCAGAGCATCCGGAGCTCTGCACCGTGGAGCCTAGCAACCTCCACGAGACCGTCTGTGTTGTCTGTCTGTAACTGCAACTCAATCAAGCTTTCCAGCCTACACCACTGCCATCTCGGTGTAAGTAAACAATCTTTAAAACTACCGATACGTGTCTGTGCCTAATTCCAGCTCGACGGCCTTCCCTCTCCGACCCGGCGTGCCCGGGCTGCTGGCCACAGCCCACATGCAGCGCGGAAAAGGGCTCGGGTCACTCCCGGCCCGCACATAGTGAAGTCAAAGAGGTTTAAAAAGCCTGAAGCTCTTAGTAAGTTCTTACTGAGTTCACTTTAGAAAATTTAAGATGGCTGGGATTTCTAAATTGCCATGTTTGACTTTGAACTATGGGTTTGGTGTCACTAAGGATTCAGACATGCAAACAGCTTGCTAAGGAGGAAGAGGTGGGTTTTCATGTATATCAGCTAATCTCCGATGCCTGTACCTGTGCACACTTACTGTTACTTTATGATAAGTAGAACCTAAACCTCAGTACATGAACGGTGCGTGCCCCTGGCGGCTGGGGAGGCACGGCTGTGCTGGCAGTGGCGGGAGCCCAGAGGTGGTGAGCAGGGAACACTGGCAGGGGGAGGGCGAATGCCAACGGGTCAGCCACCACCCACAGGCACTGCTGGCAGCGGCTAGGGACGCAGCAGCTAGGGATGATCAGGGACTGCCTGCAGACGTCACTGGTGGCACCAGCATCTGGTGGGGTGGCTGTTGGCAGCGCCTTTTTTGCAGGGGTGCACTGCCACGTGCAGGGGGTGCAGGTACACCCGCAAGCACCCGCTATGCGTCACCCCTGTCTCAGTAGATCAGCCTTCTTTCCCCTGCATCTGTTCTACTTCTCTTTCAACCTTGCATGGACTAGGTGATTAATGCTATTAATTTAGCTGTAGGGTAAAATACTGGTCCCTATCAAATTCTCCTTTCGCAACAGAGAGCAAAAAAAAAAAAAAAGAAATTGAAAGACTGGCATTCAAAACTGCCTTCTCTGGTTTCAATTAAGATTTTAATTCACATGAAATGTGAAAATTACTTATAATGCTATGAAACTTCTTTACTTGACACCTGAGTAAACCAGCTCTTTCAGTGTGAAGTTAGGGATTAAGTCTACTCCAGTACTTGTTTTGGGGCATTATCAGTGAGTGCAACACATGACACATTTATTCCAGAGGAAAAGTGGAACGGGTACCCTATGCCTAGCATTTGCTCTAGATGAAATGACATTCTCTGCTGTAAAGTTATTCTGCCATACCTGTTGTTTTGTTCTTATTGTTATTGCCACTTTTGTCTGGAGTAGCCATTTGCTAAATGCAGACAGGCTTCTCTGCCATCTAATGGCTCTACACTGTAATAACATTGATTTTTGAGCAGCCAGTTTGGAAGAACTGACTTTCTGTCCGCTCCTTATTGTGGAGTAAACCTGGGGTGCTAAACTCATCGGCCCCAAGGGCTGGTTGAGTGGAACAGGGCTCTCCACTTCTATGGGCCAGATTGGGCCCACAGACCCCACCCCGCTTCCCACCCTGCAAGCTGGATCCAACATGCACTCCACGTGGTGCCCATGCAGGGCTCCTCTGGGATGCACGCTGTATGTGACACCTGCTTCAGCTAGTCTGGGACCAATGCTTCACGCAGTGTCTGCCCCAAGCTAGCTGGGCTGAATGCTACATGCAGCGCAGGTCCTGTACCAGGCACAATCTGTGATGAGTCCCAGAGCAGGTGCGGTCCCAGGTTGGCTGGGGCAGGTGCTACTTGCACAGTGGAGTCCCAGAGTCCTGAAACCTGCATGTGGTGCCAGTCTGGTGAGCACCATGTGCTGTATTTGGGCCAACTCTCGAGTCCCAGGAGCAAATGATGGGGATCCCTGGGCCAGATCTTTGGCAACCCTGGAGTAAATTTATTCTGCAAAATATGGGCAAAGTTACTCCATAATGAGGATGTCGTATCTGCATCCAGTTGTTAGGGCTAGTTCTGTGTGGATAGTCGCAGTACCACTTTTTCTTTTTTTTTGTTCCCAGTATGTCTTACCATTACCATAGTGCTTCATTAGGAGCCTTCTGGAAGAAGGTTCTTAATGCATCAGATACAGAAACTGTTGGAATTCATTTGTTGGTGTTGGTGTGCCTTTGTTGGAATGTCAGTGGGGTTGGTCTTACCTACTATTCTGTTTTACTGACCTGTCAGAACACTCCTGAAATGACTCGGATGTATGGTGGCATTTGCTATGTGTTTGCATATTATTGACCTGTACAAACAGGGTACTGTTTCTTCAGTGTACCCCAAATGGGCAGTTTTTGTAAGAGCTTCTGATTTGAATGTTCTGCTTTGAGATTAGCTTTCCTACAGTAACTAGGAAGCAGTTTTATTCATATAAACTGTTTTTAATGTAAAGTCTGAAGCATAGCTAGACCTCTTGGATGCTTTTTCCCACCATATTCTTTTTCTCCTAAGGCTTTATCTCCAATATGACTATCCAGCGCCAGTATTTCCCTAATGATGAAGATCAGACTGGTGCTGCCAAAGCTCTCCTAAGACTCCAGGACACATACAATTTGGATACAGACACCCTTTCAAGGGGAAATCTTCCAGGTAAGAGGCACCTGCACTAATTCTGAAAAATAATTGTTAAATTATTCCATGTTATCTATATTGTACACCACTTTGAGGGATGTTTCCTTTGCACTTGTCTGTTAAGTGCCTAGCATACTGTTACAAAGAGAGGCAGGGGGAAGCCCTGTTTCCTAAACTTCAGCTAGTCCCTTATTATGTAAAGCAGTGTGATGTTGACCTACTGTACCAAAGAGTGTTTGGAGCAGGGCAAGCTTTAGGATTTTCCCTTGAGGGTGGGGGGACAGCCTTTTAAGGCTACATGGTAAAACAGTGCATGCCTTGACCACAGCTTCCCTGGATCACTTTTGAAAAAAAATAGTAAAGTTTAAAAATGCCAGTTTTAGTTTAAACACCCCTCTTCTCCCCACTTATAGTTTTTGTTGTTGTTGTGTTCTTGTTTTTTCTTTCCCAGTGGCTGTTGTGATCAATAAGTTGCACTGTTAAACTGTATTTTTAAGTTCACAGTAGAATGAATATTGGGAGGAGTGGGGAACTCCTGTCATGAGCTTTAAACAGATTTGTGACAGGTTTACCTGAGTCCACATTATGTATAAACTTTAGAAACAAGAAATTGGGTTTGAGAGACAAACATACAAAATCATTTGTACTTGTACAGGTCTAGTTTAAATAATACTTAACAGTTTTGTCTGCAAAAAAGCGGTTTGTCTCTGGGAAATATAATGCAAGGAGAGCGTGTTAGCTATACCAGTTTTCTCTCTTGTAAAGTGTGTTATCATTCCATATGGTAAATCATCACTGGAAAATTATGTATATTTTTCCCAAGCACACATTCTGTTCTAATGTCTCTTAAAATGAGGAAAATGTGCCTTATAGCTTCCAAAGTTTACTTTTGTTTTCAGGTCTCGGTTATTCTAGCAAGATTTAACAACTGATTTTTTTTTTTTTTTTTTTTTTTTTTTACCTAGGTTGTTTTTTTTTTCGCAAATTTTAAAAAAGTTTTTTTTTTTTTTTTTTTTTTTTTTTTTAACCCTGTAGTTCAATCACTGTTCATCAACAGATGGGAACTTTTTGTACTTTATTTTTGTCTTAAGTGAATATTGGCCATATTTTATTGTCAGTTTTGAAAATAAGTATTGTAGAAACTGTATAATCCTGATTTCTGACAACATTTTGATAGTGGCATCAGCAAACCTGTCTTGTTCAGTGATTATTTCTATTTTTATTCTAAAATTAACATATTCTTGACCTCCAGAGCTAAGAGAGCCCAGACCACTCAGAACACTAAATATCTAGTGTTATCTATCTTGGTCATCTTTTTATTAACTTGGTCTTGGGTGTATTCTTTCTTTTTCTGCGGTCTCCAGTTCAACTGACTTTTCTACTCTTGGATCTCCTCCATTTCAGGCTTTTCTCTTGTACTGATCAGCTACTTTGGCTGGTTGTACAGCATAATTTTCACTGCAAGGTCACACATACAATTATTAATTATCATTGCTGTATGGTTATTGTATGACCTTTCTTAGTGATGCATGTTTAAATCTCCTTTACATTTTGTTCTCATCTGTGCATGGTAACTATTGAGGTTTCCTGTAGGATGCATCCAAATCAGACCTGCGTTACAATACAGCTTAATTGTAACAGACCTAAAGCTGTTCCCTTTTGAAAGAGAATAAGTGGGGTGGGCTTCCAGCAGCCTTTCTGTTATGCCTTGTTCCTCTGAAGGTGGTTTCACCTCTTTATGAAGACTAGAGCTCCAATTAAAGGCACGGCTTAAGAAATTGTGGGCACAACACTGTTATTCTGACATCCCTGAAAGAGTTTGTGTAAATGCAGCAAACTTAAGTCACAGTGTCCTGTGGCTTGTCTTCCCTGGAAAACTCTAACAAGACAAAACACAGCCTTGAGGCATTAGTTCCAACCCTGGACCCAAGCCAGCGTTAATATTCTGTAGAATAAAAAATTCTGACATAACTGGGAACAAAATTGTAAGTGTGAAAGTAAAAGCTCTTACTTGATAAGATGTCATCTCTGCATTATTTCCTTTATTCACTGTTTCATGCCTCTAATATACTTTTTGCAAGATACAATTAGATTTTTAATGGTCTCTAAATTACAGTGGCAAAAGTAGCAATCTGTAATTTACTTACCAAGATTTATTTAATTAAAAGCTTTCAAAGAGAGGCCTTCTAGACTGTTTCTAAAAATGAATTTCCTCAAAATCTTTAGCAGCTGTGCAGCTACTGATTTATACCCTGGTTTCTCTCCCATCCTCACTAACTTGTCCTTTACTAGTGAGGTGTGTCCAAATAATCTTTTTAAAGAAACAACAAACTGTATATGGGAAAACCTGTTCCAGGCTCTGGTTGCTTAAAGCTTCTAAAACTGCAGTCATTAGAAAAGAAATCTTATACTTGGGTTAATTTCACTTATGTTTAATATCATCTATCATTCTTAAAAAAAATTAAGATGGCTAGTAACTACTAAAAGAAAATGTTACCAAACTCAATGAATGTTAATTACAAATGGAAGATGGATGCATAATGAAGATTAAGAATGTGACAACTGATTGTAGGTGTGTGTTCTGTAAATTGACTCATAATATTGTCATGTCCATTTCTTGCATTCTCCAGGTGTGAAGCACAAGTCTTTTTTAACAGCAGGAGACTGCTTTGAATTGGGGAGGATAGCATATACTGAGGCTGACTACTACCATACAGAGCTCTGGATGGAACAGGCTCTGAAACAGCTAGATGATGGAGAGGTGTCTGCTATTGAAAAAACCTCTGTTCTAGACTATTTGAGTTATGCTGTGTATCAGCAAGGGGACCTAGACAAAGCAATGATGCTGACCAAGCAGCTTCTTGAATTAGGTAAATTAAGAAATGCATGCACTAGATTATAAAGCTAGAAAGGAATTTCTCAGATTCATTAATTTTCATATTTTTTAATTTAATTTAATTTTATTTTGCATTTTAGCATTGTGTAGCCAAATTGTGTACCTTTTAAAAATGGAGTAGTTCATTGGCTGTTTTAATTTGATGTAATGATTTTATTTTTAATTAAAAAATTAACCAAGCTGCTATCAGAAATAACTAATAATCCTGTAGTTCTATTTTAAAATACTGTCAAATAACAACCTGCTTCATGTTTGCTCTTTTGTGCATTCTTTCTGTTTCAGTATCAATGACTCTTAGCACTATAGTGTCTGAACACTATATTCAGTTGTCATCTTTATTTATTGCCTAAATTAGTTTTACTGTCTTGTTCCTGTTGGCTTTCCAGTTAATTTATCTTAATCTCTCATAAACAAATTCTTTTCCTGCTTGCACATCGACCAGATTGTTAAACTGTCAAAGTGCAGGTTTTTCTCATTAATGATGCATGAGTCAGGGAGAAAAGTGTGTGTGT